CGGTAAAACTACTACTCAAACAGTACTCTATATTTTGTGTCTGTGTGGGTGCAGTCTGTTGAAATCTTTACTTAGTATATATTAAGTTGATCTTCTCTATATAAAGATAATTGAAAATGAATCTTGATGGAGAATGGGATGGGAGAGGGAGTGGGAGATGGGATGGTTGCGGGTGGGAGGGAGGTTATGGGGGGAAAAGCCGCTGTAATTCAAAAGGTGTACTTTGGAAATTTACATTTATTAAATAAAAGTTGAAAAAAAACATTGAAAATGTAATCATCCACTGTCTGACTCTCTATTGCATTTATAGTCTCTTTATTGCGATGGTGATTTAAATAAATGTCAATTGGATTTCCAAAGCCACAACTAAACCCAGGCAGCAAACCTGTCTTTTTGTAACTTCTCTACCTTTTAAAAAAGTGACAAAAAGAACGAAAAAAATCATCTACTCTAAAGGTTTCACACCATTAAGTATTACATTTTGTTTTATTTTTTTTTATTACAGAGGAGGCATTGTGATACATTATCATTTACACATTAACCTACACAGGTGTGGATTTCTTTCTCCTCACAATATGTTATTAATTGGGACACTTATACACACAGATAATCACTTCCCTGTTGCAAAAGCCAGACAACACTCACAGCTCTTGCCTTATTGCTGTATGATGACAAAAACCATGGATTTGGGGTTCAATCAAACCAGACTCCACAACTCACTGGCTAGATGAGATTCAGAAACCACTTGTTTAACCTCTAAGGCACACTTTCTCACATGTAAAATGAAGAGACTATAACCCACCTTACATGGTTCATTGGGAGAACCAAATGAAATAATTGGAATAAGCTGTTTAACATCATGTGCTGACCCAGGTAACAAACATTCAGGAAATATTAAGTAGGATTAGTTTTATGCATCACCTGTTTTCCTACAACCCCCACTCTATGATTTTAAAAGTAATAAAACATTGTTAAACATATCCAGTAAATACATCCAATAATGAAACTTTGAAAAATACACCGTGACTTCTTCCTTTTTTACCTCAAGGTAAGGTTTGAGTTCATCTTTCACGGTTTCCCCGCATGGTTTGGAAGAACTGATACCAATCTCACCATCAGCAGTAATCAAAGTATATTTACTCCCCAAGAGGAGGGCTGGTTTTTGCTTCAGGGTTTAGAGCTCTCTTCTGGCAACAACAAGTTCTAATAATCCCTTTTCTCACTTGAACTGTAAAGTTGGATGAAAGAAGGGGAAAAACAACACATCTTCCTGTGTCTGAGCTGTGAATTGTAAATACCTTTTTCGTTTGTTTGCTCCTCTGTCCCTTTGACCCATAGCTCCCAAAAGGATTTTGACATTCTCCAAATAAATTTACACTCGATTTCACAAATGACTTGAGTCTTGGGTTAGGGCTGATTGTTGTCCTCAAATATCAAGCTGATTCTTCTGAGGTTTCAGGTGGCCCACTTTAAACGCCATCTTCGCCAGGCCTCTGGGAAAGTAGACAGCAGGGTGACCAAACTCCTCCTAAAACCATCTGAGCTGGTTGCTTCCAAGCGTTGATTTTCTGCAGAAACAAGAATGTCCTTGTCAAATAACATTGCACTCAAATCCTCCGTGTTTTTCATATCCTGCTTGCCCCTCAAACACCACGCTTCTCCAAACAGAGGCTCAAAATAAGAACATCTTCCTTTGAATGTCGGTGCTAAAGTCTTTATAGACCATCAACCCAGGTGGTCTCCATGGGAGATAGAGCATGCTCTCCTATCAAGTCCAAAAGAAAGCACATCACGGGGCTCCCACTTTCAGAGTGAAGGAAGATGGATTGTGAGAGCTCCCAGGGATCTCCTCCTTCCTCAGCTCTTAGATCCAAAGCAGGAATCGTGTCTTCCCCCGCTGAATGAAGCACCTGCCCCACACTCCTCACTCTGGTTGATTCCGGGAAACTTCAGGGCAGACACGGAAGAAGGAAAAGAAGTACACCACTGAAAGCTGGGTGTGTTTAACCTAATGAGTGGAACCTCACCACCCACACCTGGTCCCTGCCAGGAAATGCCATTTCCTCTTCCAGGAAGCACAGGTGTGGAGGATCTTTGAACTGCAACCCTATTTATAAAGACGGTATCTGATCAAAACCAGAAATCTTGGCCAGGGAGACGAGAAGGCGGTACCTGGGGATTCTGGGTTTGAAAAGGCCCACTACTCTATATCCGTTGAGGTATAGACTATATGTCAAACCAGATTTTGATTTTTTTTGTAGTTTTTGCAGATGAACTTTTAAGACAAAACATCCTCCCCCCACACCTTTTTCTAGACCTATGAATATTGTTTTAAAAGAGCCTATTTTCGGAGTAATAAATTTCCAACTGTAGGACTATATGGTTACAAACATTAGAGAAGCTTGGGTCTCCAGAAACCAGTTGTCCTAAAGATAGAGAAGCAGGAAACCAAGGCCATGGCTGTAAGAACGGATGTGCTACTTAGCCACACTTGGGAAAATGGCTTCAGACTGGTCAAAGTTTGAATCCAGGATGTGGTACTTTGCTAACTATCGGACCTTGGGCAAGCTATATTATTCTTATAAACCTCGTTACTCTCTTCAGTTGAAATAGAAATGATGATGATTAGAATACCTATCTTATAAGATCATTATGGAGATTAAATAAGTAATGCATCAAAAGTGCTGATCACTGGGGCCAGCATTCTGGCATAGTGGGTTAAGCCACTGCCTGCAATGATGCCGGCATCCCATATGGGCACCAATTTAAGTCCTGGATGCTCTGTTTCCAATCCAACTCCCTGCTTATGCACTTGGGAAAGCAGCAGAAGATGGCCCAAATACTTGGGCCCCTGTCACTCATATGGGATATGAGGTTGGAGTCCCAGGCTCCTGACTTTTGCCTAGGCTGACCCTGGTCATTGTGGCCATTTGAGATGGAAGATCTCCCTCTTTCCTTCTCTCCCTCCCTCCCTCAACATACTATGTAATCTGCCTTTCAAATAAATAAAGTAAATCCTTATTTTAAAAATGCTCATTCCTAAAGACAGACACCATATGTTTTCCCTGATTTGTGGTACCTAATAGAGTACCTAAAATATGATGTATAGAAGTGAAACTGACATTTTGAGATTCAATGGTCATTTACTTCTCTTGTCTCTACTGTTGAGGAACAGTGTATTTTTCTTCATTATATTTGTTAAACTCTTTACATATGTAGGGTTAATCTTATGACTATAAAGTACAGTGAAAATATATCTTTGTAAAACTTGAGAGTGGGAATAGGAGAGGGAGGAGGAAGAAGGGTGAGATGGAGGGTAGGGTTGGAAGTATCACTATGTTTCTAAATCTATATATATGAAATAAATGAAATTTGTATACAAAAATATAGAGAAAAGAAAGATTAAAAAATAATAAAAGTGCCCATTCCTGTGTCTGGGGTCTAGGGATTCAGCACGTGGTCATCGCCATCATCACAAACTTTGTTAAAGTCATGGAATACAGATTAAATTCACAGGACACATGAACTTCTCTTCCACCCCTACATGTATTTAACCTCTGTGTCAAATTGCCAATAAGATCCCCTTAGCACCATGACCATTGCCAGTTTGTCACTTGTTCTTTTCAACATTAAGAGGCCCCATGGAAGGAAGGCTGGACAGAGACAAGGAGAAGGCGTTTTGAGCTGGGGAAGCTTCTCTTTTGCAGAGACCTGCTGTGGCGGGGATCATTGCCCCTGCTCTGCGAATCTTGTTCTCAGACACAGATGCAAGCTTCTTTCCCACCACATGTCAATAGGAAACATACAATGAACACATATTGCGCCAAGCTCTGGGGAGGTCATGGTGAGCCAGCTCTTTGAGGTCTGGTGGCCAATCCACCTTCAGACTAGACTAGTCCAAGAGCTGGCAGCTTCTGTAGTATATAATCCAGTCTTGAGGCTGAATCCAGTGCTTTCAAACACTCATGAGTGAGAGGACAGGCTAAGGCTAAGTCCAGTGCAGTTATCTTCTTTCTTTACAAGGGCTGTGTGTGTGTACGTGTGTGTGTGCGCGCGCACACATGCGCGCTGGCTTTGCTAGGTTAATATGAGGAGTGAGGGCATTAAATTGCCTGATGAGCTGGCATCTCAGGCTTTCAGGTGGAAATCAGAAGTTTGGAACTACCCCTACTCTGCAGTCATTAAGAGTTGGCTCTTTTTTCTACCTTCTTAATCTTTCTCAACAAAAAAAAAAATAAAATAAAATAAAGAGGAAAAAGGATTGCTGTTTTATTTCACAGACGATTCTGGTCTTAGTATATGACAGCACCAAAAGTCTAACCGAGGACATTTTACTCATTTAGTGCCGTCAGTGAAAGAAAACTGCTCTATAACAGTGTTGGTAACCACACAAATAATTTCCTAATCTGAATGAAAAACCAGTTCTGTGAAGCATAGGAAAAACCAGCCCAAGTACGCTCATCGTGATCATCGTGATTAGTATCTACAACCATAACGACCTAGCATTGCTGTTTCAAGTCTAGTGCAGTTCAACTTTGGCAACTGTATATAAAATGGCAATGTGCTGATGCAGAAAAATCACAACCATAGGTAAGACACAACCTAGAAATCTATGTCCCTAGGAGAGAATTGTGCCCAAACCTCCCCCGAGCAGGTGATTTGTGAAAGAACCCTGGTGGCAGGTCTCTCGGTAAAAACAACATGGAACCAGCTAACAGTGCTTTCTAGTCAGTGACCTTAATTAACCCTTTCCACTGCAGTGTGCACTGCAGTTTTCGGGTTGCTGAGACAGATGACATGCGGTCTGTCTCCCCTTTTCCTGGTACTCAGAATGTGGCTCATGCTAAACAGCCCCTGCTCAGCGCTGTCTGCAGCATCACCACCCGCGGGGGGTGGTCCCAGCTTCGTCTACCGCAGCCTCCTGGGCCAGGTCGCAGAGGAGCGACAAGTAGCCAGTAAGGAGTGAGAGTGAGCATGGAAGGTGGCAACAGGACTAAGGGGAGGTCGGAAGGCGCTCGGCGAGCACAGTCAGCGCGCGGCTGAACTCGGGTCCCAGAGCCGGGGATCCCGGGTCCCCCCTCGGGTGGCCCGCGGAGGGTGACGAGCGCCCCCTGGCCGGCGCCGCCCGCGGGGCGCATCCACCGAGCGCCCGGCCCGCGCCAATCCCCGCGCCACCGGAGCAGCAGCGGCGCCGCACTCGGACCCACCGCGGCCGCGCGACCAGGTAGGACCCCCCCAACCTCCCGCGCCCCGCACCCTGCACCGCCGGAGGGGAGAGAGGGAGCTAGCTGCGAGGCGCCAGGACCCGGGGCGAGAAGGGCCACCCGGGTCTCCTTGGGAGCTGTTCCAGGAAGGGCTGGCGGCTGCTGCGGAAAGCAGGGGTGAGAACGAAATCGAAAAGAACCCGAGCGAAAGCAAACTTCGGGGCAGTTTTCCGCCTGGCTGCGCGTGTGCGGGTCGCGCAGGATGCTGGCGAGCTTGGTCCGCTGGAGACCGTCGGCTCCAAGAGGCGTCTCCTTCTGCCTTTTCCTCTCTCCCCTGGACTAGGGGGACAAGGGGAAAGGGGAAGAAGTTGACAGGTTTTTACACTCTTGAGAGGTGTTTTCCGTAAGTGACAACCTGCCCGAGGAGTGTAATACCTGGTTTTCTGTGAATCCCCTGGGACGGCTTACACTGTCCTGAAAAGACCAAGTTTGTATTCAGGAAGCCTGGGTATGGGGTGCCCAGTCTTCGGTAGATTTTAAAAACTAATAAGCCTGGTGCTCTGCTCTCGTGGCCTGGGGTGAGATTGTTTTCTGGTCTTGAAGCCACCTGTTCCCAACTTGTGTAATGTCTTAAGTAAAATGTCTTGGTTCTCTTCCATTCTGGAGAACCACAGCTGTCAGTGTGAGAGGGACTGTTTAGTGCCAGGGGACTTCTCCTGGGCAGGAATCTGTAGGGGGAACGCACAGAGCTGTGTTGTCCTCTGGGCTGTCCTGCCATTGTGCTGGCTGGCCCTGGGGCTAATAAAAAGATCATTCACTAACAGCGTAAGCTGATGAGGAAGGGGGGGGGGGGGGGTTGCGTGCAGTGGAGACAAGAATGAGACTCCCTTCCAGCTATTGCTCAGTTCAAAGGGGGTTGGGGGAGTGAATGCTCCGTGCCACTGGGCCTGCAAGGTGCAAGTGAGAGCACAGATCATGCCTATGGGATTTTATGAGCCTCCTACAACCGGGCGTCTGGCTCCAGGAAGCTCCAGTGAAAGAATCCAGAAGTCTTGTGGCTCCACTCCTGGGTTGCGTTTGAGAGACAAGCCCAATTCAGCGGGTTCTGGGTCCCACACCGCACCCCGCGCCCCAACCTTGTGATTCACCATCTCCATTTCCCACCCACCCCACCCCCCATCTCTGCTAACTCTCACAAAATGGCAAGCTTTACTGCGGAGGCTTAATCGCTTAAAAATGCTGTGTCTAGTGGGAAGAAGTGTGACATTTACTAATTTGGTTGCAAATTACTTCTGAAGTTTATGCACAGCTGTTTAAAACCTCACAGAGATCAGAGCCATTGTTTGATGCAGGTGTCTACGGAGAGCTCTTGTGAGTGCCTTTCTTCTGCTGATTGAATGATACATATATTCAAACAGCAATAAGAAGATCTAAAACCTGCCAAGTCTCAGCTGCAAACCGCCTCCAAGTTAGCCATCTGCTCTAGATTCGTTTTTTTGATTGTTTGTTTTCTTTTCTGTCATCAACTTTTACTTCCGATTTCAAGAGTAACCTTTTGGCATCAGTAGTCTTTGTTTCAGGGCCCTGTGACTGTCTTCTCCACTTTTAAATTGTCAGCTTCCAGGAAGACTTGTGTGTTGTCATCTGCTTTGCCATGTCCATTTCTGCCACCGTGCTATGGTGGCTCATGCTGGCAAGCAGCTTTTGGGGCACTGGTCGCCTTCCAGTGCCACCTCCTATCCTGGAAACTTTCTCATTGAGTCTATGCATAGCCTGCACAGTGCAACAACTGGAAAGCTGAGTTCTGTTGCTGTCTCACTTCTCTTTCAGCTGTTCCAGGGACATTGTTCACTTACTCACAGCCGGCTCTGCTTCTCATCTTAAAGTTGCCTTTCCACACTGACATTCTGCTTAACATGGGCTTGGAGGTTCCCTGTAATAGCCCGTTGATCTCCAGTCATTTTTGTAAAGGTTTCTGGTCATTCTCATACATTGTTTCTTCTGTGAAAAATACTACCTTTTTCAGTGTGATGAATTAGATGCTTTTTTGATATTCTCTGTGGATTGGGTGCAAGATTTTCCTTCAAGAATGTGAGCTTCTGGTGCAAATCTGTAACTTCAGGGGTTCGGGAGCAAACCCCCACAAATAAGGCAATATTTCATGCTAATATATACTTACCTTCAAAAATAGGAATTAGCATTAGGACTTCCTACTTTTAATGTATTTAGAGTTATTGATTATGTCGTTTCCCTGAAAATGTTGTTGTTACATTTATCTAAGGTGGTGGTTTGTTAACGAAGGTATGTTTCATTTCTGGTGATTTCCTTTTGATGGGTTCTTTTTTTTATTTCTTTTTGAAAGCAATGTCCCCAATATCATTTAAAATGATACATTGTTATATGTCCTAGCAACAAAGATCATGTTATTTGCATCACATGTGATACATACATGTATATACATAAACGAGATGCATACACGTATATACATATATGCATAAACTTGATGTATATACATGTATGCATCATGTGTGATTGCATAGATACATATGCCCCCCCCGATACATACACCACTCCTACATGCACACATACAGCCCAAAATCAAATCTGTAATTAAAAGTAAAGAAATTGGTCTTGTGGTGATACACCAACTTACCATTTTTGTTTCTTTCCATTATTTTAAAGCATAATCATCTCATTTCTAAGCAGTATGCATGCACCTTAGCCTTTCCACACATAATCTTAATGAGGAAATCACTAGAAACTCATAGAGAACCATGGTGTTGAGCCACAAAGGTGAACTAAAAGGTGCTTCCTTGTAATGATGGAAAAACATTTTTCATTATTTTAACGTGCTGAGCATTCACAAATTCTCACTGCTCTGCCATCTAAGCATATTCTTGGGGGCGGGGAGTGATATAGGAATCAGAAGTTTCAGAAAAGTGGAATAGCTCACCCAAGTCCACAGTCATGGATTTCTGCTTTGAGATTAAGTGAGCATGTATTTAAAGCTCCTTGCTTTAGCAGTGCTTCCTTCTACAGCTTGCTGTGGGTTGATGTGAACTTTTGAGTTAAGCTAACAGTATTAATGATGATAATCAAAGCTAACCAAAGGAATGAAACATGAGGTTTTGGTCATTGTTGTATATAACTTATGGGCTAAATATTATAATCAGAACTTTCTCTATATTTGACAAACATGACTACCTCATTTAATTTTCATGAAGCCTTTAGAAATTGAACATTTTCATTGTCATTCTCAATTTTCAGGTGGAGAATCTGAGCCTCAGGCAGTTAAGTCACTTGTCCAGAGCTTATCACTGCTAAGTGGTACATTTAGGTTTTTTTTTGGCCATTAAGCAACTTGCTGTAAACCACAGTGCTGGCCTTCCCACCAATTCACTTGTTTCATTACTGTAGTAAAATACACATAACAGAATTTATCATTTTTAAGTGTGCAGCTCTGCGGCATTCAGTGCTTTCACATTGTGGGGCCAACATCGCCATTATCTATCTCCAAGACTCTGTTCATCTTGCAAAACTGAAACTGCTTATCCATCAGACAGCTCCTGGTTCCCTTGCCCTCTGCCCTTGGCAGCCTGCATTCTGCTTTATGTCGTTGTACATCCAGTTACTCAAGAGACCTCCCAGAAGAGGAATCATACAGTATCTGGCCTTTTGTAACTGGTTTATTTAGTTTAGCCTATTGCCCTCGAGTTTTAAGCATATCACGGCATGTGTCAGAATTTCCTTCTGTTTGAAGGCTGAGTTAATAATAATTCTTTTGTGTATAGAAATGACATTTTGCTTATCCACTCCTCGTCAATGGTTAGGTGGGGTTACCCCACCTCCTAACTCTTGTAAATAGCACTGCTATGAAGATTGGTGTTCAAGATTCTCCTTTCAGTTCTTTTGGGTATATCCAGAAGTGGAATTGGTGAATCATATGGTATTTCTATGTTTAATTTTTTTGGGGGGGGGAGGGGAATGCCTTAACTATTTTTTCATGGTGAAAATCTCAGTACAAGGAATCTAAATTACACAGGCATGTGGGGTTTTTTTTTTTTTTTCATTTTATTTAAATGCCAGAGAGAAAAGAACAGAGAGCTCTTCCCGTGTGCTGGTTTGCTCCCTCAAATGCCTGTAATAGTCAGGACTGAGCAAGGGCAAAGTCAGGAGCCCAGAAATCATTCTAGGTCTTCTGTGTGACTGGCAGAGACCTAAGTCCTGGAGTCTTCAGCTGCTGCCACTCCTCGTGCATTCACAGGAAGCTAGATTCAAAGTGGAGTAGCCAGGACTTAAACCAGGAACTCCCAGATGGCTTCTGAGCATCCCAAGAAGTGATTTAGCCAGTGTGACAACGGCCTACCACGTAGGTGGTATTTTTCATGTGTAGCATGTGTCTGGTATCTGTTTCCCATCAACCTCCTTCCACTCAGTGGCACCACAGTGTGTTGGCATTAGATGAAGCGAGTGGGTTTAGCCAGAGAGGAAACTGAGGTTTCTGAACGCTCTTATGAGGCCAGCCTGGATTCTCACATAAGCTGAGTTCTCGGAGAACTGACCAAGGAACCTTCCTGGAAAAGCCTCCAAGCATATTTTTTTTAAAGATTTATTTATTTATTTATTTGAAAGTCAGAATTACACAGAGAGAGAAAGAGAAGCAGAGAAAGAGAGAGGGAGAGAGAGAGAGAGAGAGGTCTTCCATCCACTGGTTCACTCTCCAATTGGCTGCAAAATCTGTAACTGTGCCCATCCGAAGCCAGGAGCCAGGAGCTTCTTCCAGGTCTTCCACGCGGGTGCAGGGGCCCAAGCACTTGGGCCATCTTCTACTGCTTTCCCAGGCCATATCAGAGAGCTTGACAGGGAGTGGAGCAGCTGGGATTCGAACCGGCGCCCATATGGGTGATGGCTTTACCCACTACACCACAGCACTGGCCCCAAGCGTGTGGTTTTTGAAGGTGAATTAGACTTGGACAAGTTGAACGGTTTTTAATCAGAGTACAGACTTGGGTACTTGAAA